GCTATATATCTTTTTAAAAGTAAAAGAAAAAATATATACATATCTAAACTAGTCCATGTGACAATCTTTTATTTTGTATTAAAATATATTTATTAAGTATTTATCTCATATTAATGAAATGGTATTTTATAAAGGTTGTGTTTGAAGTGCTCCTGTGTGTTTTTGATCTTTTATTATTATTAACCTGAATGTTTTTGAWAAACAAAGGCAAAGAGCGTTCCTGAGCGTTTTTAATTGACATCATTTAAAAATTGTGTCAAACAGAAAGAGCAGTCCTTTCTTTTTTTCCCCATAACTTTGTTTTTGTGCTTCTGTCTACATGTTTTAAGTTAATTATCGGAACATGTCACTATTATTTAAATACCTTTCATTTATTTATGTCAGTTATTTACTAAGATATGGACATATCATGTTTTTTTTTCTCAAATGTGGCAGCACCTCTCAGCAGATTCATTCTTTGTTTTGCTCTTGCCAGCTCATWCCGTCCCACACATTTTCCTGACATTTAATATTGTTCATATTCTTTATCTTTTCCTATCTACATGCCTTCTTACTCGTTCCTCCTGTTTTTCCACTCAGTCTTTAAAGTTCAAAACAGAATCTGTAGAAGAAAATGAGAGCTACTGTGTAACCACGTTTTTCAAAAGTTTCATTCTAAAGGTCTTAAAACTGTCTCTTATTTTTTTTGTCCATCTGTTTGCCTGTGAGACTTTTCTCTCTGTTTTATGACTGTGCACCAGTTGTGCCATGTCCCCATGGCAACCTCCCATCTCCTTCCTCTCTTGCGACAGTTTTTACCTTTTTTTTTTTTTTTGCGCAGATACCTTTTGCTTTCAGTTCTTAACCCTGTGAGTGTTTTGGAGTGTTTGCGTACTGTGTGTTCAGCGAATGTGTCTGAAGAGCTCCTCAACAGTGGATTCTTGAAATCCTCGCACTTCAAAACACACATTGTCCCACTTAGAGTCAGATCAAAGCCTGTGCTCTGGGTGGTTTAWAGTCTGGCATGAGAACCGGGTCGAATTAGACAAGCAGCTGTTTGGTATTCATGCCATCCTCTCCGTACGACTGGAGCGCATGACACAGTCTCAGGTTTTCCCAATTTCCCAGTCTGGCTGTGACATCTCCATCTGCTCTCACACTTGATCCCCGACTCTCACATTTTGCACCTGTCAATCATTCACTCTCATGCCACAGAGACCACCTGACTACCCCGGTCAAGGCACCTGCCTTTGTTTTTTTCTTTTTCTTTTTACATAAATCATCGCTCTGCTCTTATTTGATCTCTGTGACTCTTATCAGGGCAGTTTGTTCTACGGTCCAAAAACAAGCTTACTATTCACCACCGAGGTGAAGAATGTTTACTGGTTTTATTTAAAGGAGACTGCGGTGAGATTAAGCCGAGGTCGCATTGGAAAGAAAAAAAGAAATTAAAAAAAAATGCTAAATCTTTCATTAAAGTTTGCCCACAAGCAGCTGAAAAAAAAGACATTTTGCTTTTCAAAGTAAAACAAGACAGTTAATCTATTGAGT